CTCACTTGTTCTCGCCGTGTACAAACATTTATTGAGTGCCTATTCATGCCTCCAGGGGCCCAGCCGGTGAGGGAGGCAGCCAGCTCCACTCTCCTTGCACCCCACACTCCCCGCACAGACGTTTTTGCGAACCCCCTCCCTTCCACACTGTCAGACCAGCTCCACCACAGCAGTCGGCTCTCTGTGCTCAGAAGCACGGCTGGTGGAGGGAGGGTGTGAGAGGAGAGGGCAGGGCGGGAGGAGGAAGGGCAAAGGCTCGTAGCCCTCCCTACCTCATGAGGGTTTGGAAATCAAGTTCAGGGAGGGGTCTTCCGTGTCCCGCCTACACTGAAATGCAGGACCTTCCTCGCCCAGACCTTGCTGGGAGGTGGCCCGGCACACAGGCTTAGGGTGCCCCGGGCTCTCGCTGCTCCACAAGCCCCGCCCTCCGCCGCCGCCGCCGCCGCCGCCGAGTGCGCCAGCACAGAAAGGTGGCGGTCAGGAGCCCGAGGCCCGCGCCAAGAGCAGCTAACGACATGCTCTGGGCCAGATCCAGGCAGGGCCCGCACAGCGAGAAGGTGATGCCGGCGCCAGCTGCCCCGGCCAGCACCGCCAGGGTGCCGAAGGGCAGGATGCAGCGCGCCCAGGAGCCCCCTGCACCGCCGGTGGCCAAGAAAAGGGTGTGCAGGGCTCCGGGGGTCTCTGGGGACACCAGGTCGGGCAGGGCGGGCGCAGCCAAGGGCTCTGGTGTTCTCATGTTTCCGACGAGGTGGCCGTGATCCGGGGTGGGAATGTGGGTGGCGATGGTAAGGATGCCCACCAGTCTTAGGTTACATCCTGGTTTGCCACGTCAGAGTCAACTGGTCCCTGCCGTGGTGACGACACCAGGATGTCTGGGAGTTTCACTGCCTCCTCCTGGCTTTGGCAAGGAATTGGGTGGGCGTGGGCATGTGTGATGTAATATCTAAAGTGCTTCCCTATCTTCATGGAACCCTTCACAAATACCCTACCTCCACCCAGGTTACCTCTCAGGCTTTGAGCACCTGGAACAACCAGCTGGCTACTACCAGGGCCTGGAGTGGCGTCAAGGTAGGAAGGTCATGAAGTCAAGGACTACTCGGCTCTCCAGAGGTTGGCCAGGGGCAGAGACAGACAGTGCCCTTCCCTTCTAGGATTTATAATCCAGAACCCGAGGCAGGACAATGAGATGGTAGGAACAATAATAAACCATGTGAACCAATCAATGGAGTAATTTGGGGTAGCCTGTTATAGAAGGGGTCCTGCGGCCGGAAATGACTGGCTGGCAGGGTTGAGGCCTCCTCTGGATCAGAGCACTAGGGCACAGCTTTCCAGGCAGCAGCGGAGTTACCAAGAGTGACTTGCTCAGTTTAATGGACAGTTCAGGCCAGGGGCATTCTCCTGGAACTGGGTGCTAGCTGGACAGGGTGCGGCAGCCTCCTCTCGGCTCAGAGACTCCTGGGTTCTGGTCCAGGAGACACTTCTCAGTCCAGTTAAGTTTGTCCATAGTTTTTCACGTTCTACTGTCTCTCATTCCCTCGAAGCCCTCAACTCAGGCTGTGTCTTGACTGATTTGTGTCGGCTGGCCTAACTTTTGTAAAAACTCTTTTATAAGGAGGGCCGGGCTGGAGAGATGGCTCAGAGGTTAAGAGCACTGACTGTTCTTCCAGGGGTCCTGAGTTCAATTCCCAGCAACCACATGGTGGCTCACAACCATCTGTAATGAGATTTGGTGCCCTCTTCTGTATACTTAATAAATAAATAAATCTTTAAAAAAAAAAAATGAGGGCCACCTGCTGGTAACCAGAGCAAGCTGCTTAACCATTACCCAGCCCACTCCCTCACCTAGAGACTACCTGGCTCTCCACAGACCACTTCCTATCAGACCCTCCTCCCTGCCCCCCAAGAAGCCCATGTGGAAGGGCCCTGTCCTCTCTCTAGTTTGGTGAGGCGCCGGAGATGTCTACGCAAGATGCTAGTGGTCCGCTCTAAGAAGTGCTTGGGATGTGTTAAGTGCTCTTAAGACATACTGAAAATTCCAGCACTTGTGAAGCAGAGGCAGGAGGCCTGCGAGTTGGAGACCAGTCCAGCTACACAGTGACAGCCTCCTCAACAGGACAAAGGTCTGGGGAACCCGGGCTGAAGAGATAGCTTAGTGGTTCAGAACACTTGCTTTCAGGCATGGTGGTGCTGGCCTTCACTCCCAGTGCTCCGAAGGGAGAGGCAGGTGGATCTCTGTGAGTCCGAGTCCAATCTGTCTACTGAGTGAGTTCCAGGTCAGTGAAGGCTACATAGAAAGATTGTCTAAGAAAACAAAAAAGATCACCTGCTGACCTTCCAGAGGACCAGCTCCCACAACACACGCCTGGCAGCTCACAACGGCCTGTAGCTCCAGCTCCAGGGGATCTGATGCCCTCTTTTTGCCTCCGAGGCCCTCTTTTTGCCTCCGAGGGAATCCACACACAGGTGTCATATATATACAATTAAAAATAAACTATCTTTTCCTTTTTCAAACAGGGTCTTAATATATACACCAGGTTGGCCTCAAATTCAGAGATATACCTGCCTCAGTTTCCTGAGTGCTCGGATTAAAGGTGTGGGCCACAGTGGCCAGCTAAAAAATGCATAGGTTTCGGCCCCTGACCCCAGACTTCCGTGTAGCCTTTGGTGGTGGTGGGGGGTGGCTGACCCTGATGGCATGGATGTGGGGGAGCTGGCTCCACCCCTTGCCTGAGGGGGGCGGCCCCAGTGGCTTAGACTAACAAGCTCAACTACCTCCCAGGCCCACATCCAGACCTGGGGTTGGCCCGAGCTAACAACTACTCTAAGTCCTGCTGGAGCTAGTGAAGGGACTGGTCCTGTGGAACCATAACCACAGGCTTTCCATGACTCGTAGCAGCTGTGGGACATCCGAGAGGAGTTTCGGTGAGGATCCAGTAATGATGGTGTACCAGAAACCGGAGGCCTTGAACCAGACCAGTGACTCACTGTAATGAACGTCTGCAAGATGGGACAAAAGGGTGCGCTGTGTGACCCACTGAGGCTCCCAGGGTTCCCTGTGTGACCCACTGAGGCTCCCAGGGTGCGCTGTGTGACCCACTGCGGCTCCCAGGGTTCCCTGTGTGACCCACTGTGGCTCCCAGGGTGCGCTGTGTGACCCACTGCGG